GGTGCACAACTGATTTAAAACAAAACAAAATAGTCCTGGCCGGTGTGTTCAGTGGTTAGAGTGCCTGCCTTTGCACTAAAGGGCCGCAGGTTCGATTCCTAGTGAAGGGCATGTACCTGGGTTATAGGTTGATCCCTGGCCCTGGATCAGGGCAGTGGGGGAGGCAACCAACTCGCCGTGTCTCTCTCATATTGATGTTTCTCTCCCTTCCTTCCTCTCACTCTCCCTCCCTCCCACTCTCTCTCTAAAAAAAAAAAATGGATAAAGTATCTTCCAGTGAGGATTCAAAAGAAAACAAAAAAAGCCAAAAACATTTTTTAAGCATCGGAACTTTGTATGTTTGCTTGCTTGCTTATTTCTTTATTGGCATGAGGGCAGGAAACAAAAATCTAACTAGGCACCCTGCTTTCTAGAACAGATATTCCGGGTGAAACCAGGCAGAGGCTGTGCACCCCTGCCTATGCCCACAGCCCCTCCCCCACCGCACCCGCTCCCACCGTGTGTTCACCCCCAGGGAGTGGCTCCACCTCTGTGGTCTCTGGCCTCAATATTTCCAATTCCAAGTCCGCTCCTTGCCTTCTTCCCCTGGCAAGAAGGGAAGAAACTTCTCCCCAGTTCCTGCCCTGGAGGGCAGGGCAAAACGTGTCATGAGTTCTAGAAGGGAACGGTTCTGCGGTACCTGGGCTTTGAGAGATGAGCTGAATACTTGAAGTTTGACGAATTTTACTGAGCACCTCCAATTATAGTTAGTCGCTGAAGGAAATGGGGGAGTTGTTTAAGAAGTATCGTGATAGCCCTGGCCGGTTTGGCTCAGTGGATGGAGCGTCGGCCTGTGGACTCAGGGGTCCCAGGTTCAATTCTGGTTGGGGGCATGTGCCTTGGTTGTGGGCGTGTCCCCAGTGGGGAGTATGCAGGAGGCAGCTGATCGATGTTTCTAGCTCTCTGTCCCTTTCCCTTCCTCTCTGTAAAAAAAAGAAGTATCGTGATAGCGAGTCCAGGAAGAAGGTTGAGTTGGAACATCTGGTGTCTACCTGTGTACAGGTCCAGTCCAGCTTGTGCATTAAGCATTAATAGTTGGCGTTTGTCTAAGCTAAGGCATGAATGGGTTGGGTATGTTTTAGGGGAGTGAGCACAGGGCTTCCCCAAGCAATAGTTCGTGGAGTTCCCACACTGCCTCTGTGCCTGAAAACGTTAGTGCCTGAGGCTTGGGTAGTTCCATGCCCAGCCACCATCCACAGCACTCCCAGGGAGGGACCGCAGGTGGCCCTGCCCAAGGACCAGAGTGACCAGGGACTTGCCATTCTCTCCATGCCATCCAGAAGGCTAATGGCTGCCATTCTGGGTCACGGAGCTGGCTGGGCCAAACGGGGGCAGCCCCATGGAGAGAACAGCATAGCCAGACTCTTCTACACAAGCCCTGGACGTCTGGAGTGGCAGGAATTCGGGACATGTTGGTCTCCTGCAATCAGTGACTAGATTGAATGCAGAATGGACCACATTTGGTGGTTGCGGGGGGTTGGGGGCGGGGTGTGTGGAATGGTTCTCACCTCAAAAAAACACAAAAAAACACTTGGACCTTAAATCACCTTTAACATTCTGGCAGACATTCTTCCAGTCTTTTTTTTTTTTTTTTCAATTGATTTTTTTACAGAGAGGAAGGGAGAGAGATAGAGAGTTAGAAACATCGATGAGAGAGGAACATCGATCAGCTGCCTTCTGCACATCTCCTACTGGGGATGTGCCCGCAACCCAGGTACATGCCCTTGACCGGAATCGAACCTGGGACCTTTCAGTCCACAGGCCGACGCTCTATCCACTGAGCCAAACCGGTTTCGGCTTTTTTTTTTTTTTACATAGTTGAATTCACAGTGTGGACTTGATTTTGTGTCTTGTTTTTCCTTTACCTACCTATATCATAAGCATTTTTTTCATGTGCTAATTACTTTCCATAAGCAGCAAGTAATCTTGAGTGAGGTAAGTAAAGCTACCTGCACCTTGGTTTCTTCATGTGTAGAATAAGCGATGTTTGTTTTACCACCCAACAGTCACCAGGAAGGCTTTTTAAAACACAGATTGTGCCCTAGCGGGTTTGGCTCAGTGATTAGAGCCTCAGCCCTTGATCTGAAGGTCCTGGGTTTGATTCCGGTCAAGGGCACGTACTTAGGTTGCAGGCTCGATCTCCAGCCCTGGTCGGGGCATGTGTGGCAACCTGTCTCTCTCACATCAATGCTCTCTCTCTCTCTGTCTCTCCCCCTCCCTTCCGCTCTAAGAATTAATGGAAAAATATCCTCAGGTGAGAATTAACAAAACAAACAAACAACAACAACAACAAAACACACAGTTTGCTGGCCCCCCACTCCAGAATTTCTGATTCGGTGGGTCTGGAGTGGGGCTTGGTAATTTGTATTCCCGGGAAGGTCCCAGGAGATGCTGGTGCTGCTGGTCAGGAAACCACCTTGGAGAATCCATAAAATGAGGAGACTGAGCTGTGGGAATTCCAAGGTTTCAAAATTTAAGTGTTTGCCTCGTTTTCAATTTAAAAAAATATCCAACTCTTAAAATACATGACTTTCCTGAACTTTCAAAAAAAAAACACCCATTTTTTAAAAAATGTAAAGGAACATCATCTACCATTTACAAGTAATTGTTTCCACTTGTAGCTCACGTGCGTTCCATACCTATTTCTCTTAGAAGTTACCTGGGTTTTTCAAAGGATATCTTTGAAGAACAGTCAGACTTATATCTAATACTTTATTCTTTTTCTTTGCCTTTACATAGTTCCATATGTATTGAAGAGCTGTGCAGAATTTATAGAGACTCATGGCATTGTGGATGGAATTTATCGGCTTTCGGGAGTCACCTCAAACATACAACGGCTACGGTAAGCTGAAAGAATAGCTCCCATCAGAATTCTCTCATAATTCTTTCTCTGTCCATATCTCTGTCCGAAGGTGTTGGGATATTAAAAACCTGAAGGGACTGAGGGAAGGGTGGAGGGGCAGAAGATCAAGTGCTGCTGTTTTCAGATGCCTGTTCCTAATCTAATCAGGAAGTGCTCTAGTCTGATGTCATTCTTTCCAACAAAAGCTCCTGAGGGCTTTAAATCTGTTTCTTTGTTTTATACTAGATTTGCCCTCCTTGGGTGGATTCTACTGAACACAAGTGATTTTAATTATGAGTTAGGGAAATATGATTTATAATAATTCACTTGCTTACCCAAAGCTCAGTTAGATCCCATTATATAGTGTTCAGAACTTGGAGATGGATGTGAGTTTTTCTGTTGGCACACACCCAACCTTTGATATTTCATCTGCTTGGGAATTCGGAAGTCTGCATGAAGGTGCATTTCTCTAACTGAGGCTGGTATTTTAAAAATTACTGATATATAAATGATTTTTAATTCTATGGATTTATCCCAAACAATTCTAAAATTTATTCTTGAATTTTTGGGAAGCAATTTCTATCACATTGAAGTCAGAGTACAGTAACCTTCACACTAGACACAGATATGTGTGCATATATTTTATATGGGTTGTGTATTAAATAAAGGGAATATACACACTATATAGAGAGAATACAGGGTGGGGTGAAAGTTATTCATATGGAAAATAATGCAATAATCTATATATATAAAAGCCTAAGCGACTGATCATTCGACTGGTAGCTATGATGCGCACTGACCACCAGGGGGCAGATGCTCAGACTGGTAGGTTGCTTGCTGCTGGGGTCCAACAGATTGGGACTGAGTGAGATGGGTTGGACACACCCTAGATGAATCCATGCACCAGGCCAGTTTTGGCCTGATCCCTGCAGGCCAGGCCAAGGGACCCCAACTAGTGCACTATCAGGGCAGGGAGGGGCCGCGGGAGGGCTCCAGGGTGTGTCCAGCTCATCTCGCCCAGTCCCTGTTGGGGCCGATCAGGGCCAGCTGCCTGGGGAGGGACCCCACCAGTGCACGAATCCGGCTTCTCCACCTCCCTCTGCTCCTGAGGGGCAATCGGGGCAGCAGCCATTGCTGTCACCCACTGATGGCGTGGCGCAATTGGGGCCAGCGCCAGCAGCAGGTGCAAGTGGGGCCGGCGCCATCAGTGGGTGCAAGCAGTGACTGCTGCCCTAATCACCCCTCAGGAGCAGGGGGAAGTAGAGAAGCCCTCAGGGGTGATGGGGACTGGTGCCAGGCGTTGGCAGCTAATGCAAGTGGCAGCTCCAGTGCCGGCTGCGGGTGCAGGTGCTGGGTGGGACCGCAGCACATGGGAGCAAAGACTATTCGTGCTGTCACCCACTGATGGCGTGGCGCAATTGGGGCCAGTGCCAGCAGCAGGTGCAAGTGGGGCCGGCGCCATCAGTGGGTGCAAGCAGTGACTGCTGCCCTAATCACCCCTCAGGAGCAGGGGGAAGTAGAGAAGCCCTCAGGGGTGATGGGGACTGGTGCCAGGCGTTGGCAGCTAATGCAAGTGGCAGCTCCAGTGCCGGCTGCGGGTGCAGGTGCTGGGTGGGACCGCAGCACATGGGAGCAAAGACTATTCAGTAACCACCAGAGGCTCGCCCCAATGACAGTGACCAGCGCCCCGCCTTGGTTTGGTGCTCCTGCTCACCTGCTCCACCATCCCACTGTGGCCGACGCCCACCACGACCATGTTCCACGCTCTGCTGCCTGCTGCCGATGCCCACCATGTTCCATGCGCGCCCCCTGGTTGTCTGTGCACATCATAGCAACTGGTTGTTCTGCTGTTCTGGCATTCGGTTGTTCTGCCTTTCGGGCTATTTGCATATTAGCCTTTTATTAGATAGGATATAGATATTTATTATATGTTTTTAGTTATAAATGTAGACTTTTAAAACAATATAAACATTCTTGTTCCAAGATTAATATATAAAATTTAATAGCTTGTACAAGTAATTCATTTTTTTGTCTTCTTCTTACTATTTGGTTTTCTGCCCTTCTCAAATCTCAATTATAATAAAATTATACTAAAGGAATAAAACATCCTTTTTACGCCTAGAGAAGTGATGGCTGTTAAAAAAACAAACAACTGGTTTATTGCAACCATAGAGTTTAATGGATCTGTGTTGGTACATAATTTCACTAATTAACTAGTGTGACATTTTTTAGAGTTTCAACAACAACAAATACTTTTGAATGGTTACTCTTTGCTCTAAAATATACTACACAGTAGTTGATATCATGGAGGATACTTGGGCGATGGCCAATTCTTTTTCACTTAAGGACTGACCTTAGCCTCCACAAGGGAAATTTTTGGCTGACTAAATGAATAAGCTTTAGGTTGTTTTTGTCTGCCCTCTTAGAAAAACACATGCCTATGAATTTATGAGGCCATTGGTTTTCCTTTCAAGGTCTTACTCAGTTTCTTTTGGGTTCATCAGGAATTTCCCTATCCTGGATATGGAAAAGCAGAATACAGGAGGATGGGCAAGCTGTTTTGAAATGCTGGCCCTGGGAGTGATTGAAATAATTGACCATGGGGTTTTGTCTGAAATTTTACCCCTGGGAGACCCGTTGACTGTGTCACTGCTTGGTTGACCAAGGGAATGCTCTCAGGAAGCCTAACTTCTCTTCTGTAGTAAAGTCCAAACTTGTCACTATTTAAAACCGATTTTTAATTGTAAGTATACATGAGTTAGGTCAGAATATTTCCTAATATTCTGACCTAACTAATGCAACCTCATTAGGAAATGTTTTTTAATTAGATATGAGGCCTAGGATCTGGGGAGGTTGCTTAAGAAGATATTTATAAGCTCTTCTATCCTGTGGGGACCACTACCAGGCAGCCTAGAAGGTTCCATCCAGCATCAAAGAGATCATTGATTAAAGTTCTCAAACCTTGGGCCTGAGTCTCCCGATAAAACAAGTTTGTTGACATGAGTATGTGAGTGATAACAATCTCACTCACCTTAGTTTTGGACTCTCCTCCAAGAAAGAGGACTTCATTTAGAACAACATTTTGGAAAAGCTGAAATCTCAACAGGCTTTTTTTGGCAAATTGTTTTCATATTACCCTGAAACTGAGACTGTGAGCATAATGCCATGAGAAATCCATTTGTACGTGGGCATTTTGTCTTTCTAATTACAGTTGCTTTGGAGGAAAGATCCAGATCTGAAGTGGAAGTCTTCTTGTAGCTCTCTTGTGCCTGAAATAGAATGTCTTTTTGTACCAGGGTCAAAAATATCGTCAGATCAGCATTTTAGGGTCTTTTTACCCCTAAGCAGCTGCTGACATGGAACACATGTTCCCGGGATTGTTATGTCTCTGTCTGTGTTGTTTCAGGCAAGAGTTTGGCTCAGATCAGTGTCCAGATCTGACCAGGGAAGTGTACCTCCAGGACATCCACTGTGTGGGCTCACTCTGTAAGCTCTACTTTAGGGAGCTGCCCAACCCCCTCCTGACGTATGAGCTCTATGAGAAATTCACGGTAAGTGTTTGGATTTCCATTATGGTTACTGGGTGGGATGCATGAATGGGCCAAGGAGGATTTCAACACTAAAATAACAATAATAATACTAACCAGATGGATGACATTATCTTAGCGTGGTGATGGACATAGCATGGTACAGTGAGGGAAGTAGGGTAGTGGGACTGTTTGCTACATTTTTTTCTTTCTTACATTTTCAGAATCATGGGGGGGGCAGGCTAGAGGGGGTTAATGGGGGGAAAGGGGACATATGTAATACTTTCAGCACTAAAGAATTATTTTTAAAAATCAATAAGTATGTCCTCTGGTGAGGATTCTTTTAAAAACAAATTTTTAGAATCATGTTTGTTTGTGTTAAGAGCTGGGTTAAATGATCTCCAGGTTTATTTAACCAAGTGTGTCTCATTGCTTAGGGCGGAAGCTAAGAACCAGAGAAGTGAAATGATTGGCCCAAGGTCACACAGCAGGACAGGACCCTAAAACTAGATGTGATACGCACTGCTGGTTCATTTTTATCAGGCTATTCCTCCTGTGTTTCTTTGGAGGGTTGGGGAAAGAGGTAGGCGAATAGAAAAGGGAGAGAGAACAAACAGAGGTCAAGAGAGAGGTCAGAAAGCTGGGAAGAGAAAAAGAATCTGAGAAGAACAGCCAAGAGGAGTGCTGGACAGACAGGTGTGTTGAGTTGGTGAAGGATGGATGGGTAAGAGCAGAACACCTAACTAGCAGCTATGTGGTCACCAAATAGGGCACCCGTAGTAAAAGTAGAAAGAAGAATGAATGCTTAAAGGATGCCTATAGAGATAGCATTAAAAAGGGGCTTGAATATTTGCTGCAGGGGTGGAGGTGGAGAGTTGGGTTTAACCAAGGTGGAGCCAGCAAAAGACGGGTGAGGGAGATGAGAGTGTATGCAAGGGAGTGATTGAAATAATTGACCATAGAACTTTGTCTGAATAAGAGCGGAAATGAGAGCATAAAGCACGTGTATAACAATGAAAAAGTAGATCAACGAATTATCCATCCCAGTGAGGTCAAAAGACTGTTGGAGTGGGGTGTTCATAGGGGATGTTTGAAATAAAGGTTATGGAAGAGTTGTGATTATTGATAGGAATCTCTCTTGTGGCTCTAGATGAATTTATTTTGAGCACATAAAAGGTTCTTCCATTTGAAATGATATAGAAATAAGTAAATACTTTTTAAAAATTGGGTTTGGGACATTTATATATAAGAATCTGTAATGATAGAGGGAAACACTAATAATGGTAATTGGAAAAACTCGATATAGAATTGTATATTAAGATGATTAAAAAGAAAGATGTTCAAAAGATTAACAACCATTTATTTCAATCATGGGATTATAGTTTTTCCTACTTCTTTAAAAATCATATCCACTAAAAGTATATTATATAAATATATGTATATTTTGTTAATCCTCACCCAAGGATATTTTTTCCATTAAGTTTTAGAGAAAGTGGAAAAGTGGAGGGAGGAGGGGAGAGCTTCTGGAAGAAGCACAGCACTGTTGACACCAAAAATTTTCATTTTGCTAAATTATTTGCCAGTTTGAATCAACAAAAAATATATCTTATTGTCATTGTAATTAGTATGTAAGACTTCATTGTTTTCTACATAGTTTTAATCCTCTTATCAGCATAATAGTATCATCCTTGAATATGATAGAATATTATCATGTTAAAGAACTAAATGAATCTAACTTATTTTAACTAAATTTCATTCTATGATAGTTAAGGGTAGATAAGAATTCTGGTCTAGAAATTTCAGAAATAAAGTTTCTTCTTAGCTCTTGTTTGTCGGCTCAGAACAAAACCCATATTTATCTCTCCCTGCGTCTGTTCCCTGACATTGCTGATCATTCTGTTCTCCCACAGCAACAGGAAAATACCAAAGTAATATTACTGTCAATAAATTTTAAGGAAATCTAATGTTATATTTAAACAGTTTATTGACTCTAAAAAATAATATAAGAATCTTTTGCCCTAGCTGGTTTGCAGTGGTTCTCAACCTTCTGGCCCTTTAAATACAGTTCCTCATGTTGTGACCGAACCGTAAAATTATTTTTGTTGCTACTTCATAACTGTAATGTTGCTACTGTTATGAATCGTAATGTAAATATCTGATATGCAGGATGGTCTTAGGCGACCCCTGTGAAAGGGTCGTTCGATCGCCAAAGGGGTTGCGACCCACAGGTTGAGAACCGCTGGCTTAGTGGCTAGAGTGTCAGCCTGTGGACTGAAAAATCTTGGGTTCAATTCCAGCCAAGGGCACATGCCCAAGTTGCAGGTTCAATCCCCAGTAGAGGGTGTGCAGGAGGCAGCCGATCAATGACTCTCATCATTGACATTTCTATCTCTCTCTTCCTCTCCATTCCTCTCTGAAATTAATAAAAATATATCTAAAAATAATAATGAGAAGAAGAATCTTTTGCTGTGACAACTGACTTCTACATAGGTAGAACCTACTGAAGTTAATTATGCTGAAGAATTTATCATGCAATAGAGTGCTTTGATCACAGTAATGAATTACAATATAAGCAAACCTTCTTCGGAGATATGGAAATAGCTCTAGGACATTGTCACACATTCTAGTAATGATACTAGAGATCCAGTGCAGGAAATTTGTGCACTTGCAGGGGGAGGGGGAGTGTCCCTCAGCCTGGCCTGCACCCTCTCACAGTCTCGGAGCCCTCAGGGAATGTCTGACTGACGGCTTAGGCCTGCGTCAGTTGGACATCCTTAGTACTGCTGCAGAGGCAAGAGAGGCTCCTGCCACTGCCGCTGTGCTCGCCAGCCATGAGCCCGGCTTCTGGATGAGCAGCGCTCCCCCTGAGGGAGCACACTGACCACCTGCGTTGAGCGTCTGCCCCCTGGTAGTCAGTGCGCATCATAGCAATGGGTCATTCCACTGTTCAGTCAATTTGCATATTAGCCTTTTATTATATAGGATATTTAAACCCACTTGCACAGCTAAAGTAGAATGATATCTCAATGGGATAACAGAATTAGAAAAAATATTAATGGGAAAATAAGAATGATAATAGCTTTCATTTATTGAGTGCTTACTATATGATAAACTTGTTACAAATATTATTTCATTTACTCCTCACAAATAACTCCATGAAGTAGATTTTATTGTCTCTTTTATGTTTAGTTTACGAGAACCTTTTGCCTGGGGTTGCATAGTTAGTAAATAGAAAGATTTAACATTCTGTCGCAGAACTACCACATTATTTCAAAATAGAATTAAAAGCTCTTAAATATGCTCAGGTATTAAGTAACTTAATCTATATAATAAAAGCCTAAGCAACCATTACGGCAGAATGACCAGAATGACCAGTCACTACGATGCGCACTGACCACCAGGGGCAGATGCTCAGCGCAGGAGCTGCTCCCTGATGGTCAGTGAGTTCCCACAGGGGGAGTGGCCACTCAACTAGAAGCCGGGCTCAAGGCTGGCGAGCACAGCAGCGGTGGCAGGACCCTCTCCCGCCTCCATGGCAGTGCTAAGGAGCAGCAAGCCAAGCGGTAAGGAGCCTGCCACTAAGAAGCAGCAAGCAGAGTGGTAAGGAGCAAGGGATCCTGGATTGTGAGAGGGATGTCCGAGTGTTGGCTTATAATGATACCAGACAGGCAGACATCCCCCAAGGGGTCCCGGACTGCGAGAGAGCACAGGCTGGGCTGAGGAACACTCCCCTCCCCCCCAACAGTGCACAAATTTCTTGCACCGGGCCTCTAGTATAAGATAGAGAAAGCGCCCTGACTGGTTTGGCTCAGTGGATAGAGCGTCGGCCTGGGGACTGAAGGGTCCCAGGTTCGATTCCGGTCAAGGGCATGTACCTAAGTTGCGGGTACATCCCCAGTCAGGGGTATGCAGGAAGCAACTGATCAATGTTTCTCTCTCATCGATGTTTCTAACTCTCTATCCCTCTCCCTTCCTCTCTGTAAAAATTCAATAAAATATATTTAAAAATAAAAAGAAAGCATGCTAAACTAATCAAGGAACAATACAATAGTGTTAGAAAAATTAGACGACTATGGTGAGACTGGCTTTTTTATAGTTTCCTATTGGAAGTATAAACTGTCTGGGCATCCAGAAAATAATTTTAAATTACTGTCAAGAAGTCCTAAAATGGTCACTTTTTTAATAAAATATCTCTATTTCTAGGACTGCATTCTAAGATAATAATCAGATGTGCAAAATAATGATTTACGGGTATTTTATTGCAATATTATGTAAAATATCAAAATATTGGGAGTATCTATGTGTCTAACAATGAGATGGGTTAAATAAATGACAATAAACCTATTGTTTTCAATTCTGTATATCTGTGAAAAGTCACATTTATGAAGCAGATTTGATGGCCACAATACAAAGCTAAATGGAAAAAAGTAGTATATGCAACTAAATAGGAAATGATGCCAGTGTTCATATTTGGTGCTGGGAAGCGTGGGCAGATTGCTTCTTTTATGCTTCCCACATAAACAAGTTAATAGTTTTTATATCTGGGTGGCAGGATAGGAGGTGATTTTTTCCCCTTCATATTTCATATTTTAATTTTGAGTACACGTGTTAGTTTCATGTCGCTACTGTAACAAATTACCGCAAACAGAAATATGGCTTCAACAACAGAAGTTTCGTCTCACACATTTTGAGGGTCCAGAGTCTGAGAGCTGTTTCATTAGGCTGAGATCCAGATGTCAGCAGGGCTGTGCTTCTTCCAGAGGCTCTAGGGGAAAACCCATTTCCTGTCTTTTCCAGCTTCTGGTGGCTGCTGGTATCCCTTGGCTTGTGGCTGCATCACTTCCATCTCTGCCTCCATGATCACATTGCCTTTTCCTCTTCTGTCTGTGTCAAATCTTCCTCTTCCTTTCTCTTTTAAAGATACCTGTGACTACGTTCAGTTAAATTCAGCAATGCTAGTGTTCCCCACATGGAGGGATGGCCCTCAGATAGTACTGTCCTGGAAGTGTGGCCCAAAGGTGGCTGTTTGGCATTTTCTTTCTTTTTTCCTCTTTTTTTTTAAAAAAAAATATTTATTGATTTGAGAGAGAGAGAAACATCATTGTTCCACCTATTTATGTATTCATTGGTTGATTTTTTTTTTTAAGAGAGAGAGGAAAGGAAAGGATAAAGAGATAAAAACATTGACGAGAGAGAAAGTCATCAATTGGCTGCCTTCTGCCTGGCCCCCACAGGGTATCAAGCCTGCAACCCAGGCATGTTCCCTGACTGAGAATTGAACCAGCGACCTCTTGGTTCCTGGGTCGACACTCAACTGCTGAGCCACACCATCCAGGCCATTGGTTGATTCTTGTATCTGTCCTGACCAGGGATCAAACCCGCAACCTTGGCGTATTTCACAGATAAGATCCTTACTCTTGTGAAACTTACATTTTAATGAAGGAGATAGATGATAAACAGGCATATTTCTGTAAGTGTTGCCGGTTCAAGATCCATGTACCCAATGTTGCAAAAGACCAATATTCAAAATGTCAGTTGAGCTTGCTTGAGGGGATATGTTGAAGCCCGTGTGGCTATTGTGGAGTAGGTGGGAGGAAAATGATGGGAGACAGGGAATTTGCAGATGGGTCAGATCATGTAGGCATGCTTGCTTCCACGGTGTGACAAAGATGGATAGGCAGAACCATCTGGAAGGACACACAGTTGCCTCTGGAGACGGAAATCTGCAGCTGGAAGACTAACTTTCTTCTGTGTATTCCTTTGAATGCTTTGCATTTTCAAAATATGTGTGTGAGTTCCTTTTTTACCTAATTGCCTAAAATAATTTAAAATAAAAATTCTAATTTTTGAAGAAGTAACATAAAATAAAAGGCAAAGGCTGAGTTGCAGCTGGGGTGCAGAGAAGGAAGGGCCACAGTGTGTCCACCCTGCTGACAGGGTGCCTGGGGGACCAAATAAGTTTGCAGCAACTGGACTGTTCCCGGAGAGAAACCAGGATCTAGAGAGTTTCTGAATAGGATTGGGGTGTGATGGGGAGAGGCTGTGACTAATGAAGTAAACGCCGATCCCAAATGGGGCCTACAGGCTTCAGGGAGTGAGCCCGCCCTGCCTCTTAGAGAACAAAGATGACTAACCGCTTCCTAAAATATTAAAGGAACTTTCCATGTGGTCTGTTAAATTCATCTACACCTTTATTCTCCAGATACATTTTTAGAAAGGGTGTGTGTGTGTGTGTGTGTGTGTGTGTGAAGCTTTGCCAAGCTCATCCCAGCTTTGCAGGGACAGGAAGAGAGGCCTCCCACGCCTCCCCCTTTGCAGGATAGAAGGTGGGAGGGTCCACACAGTTCCCTGGAGCTTCTCCCTCTTTGCTCCCTTAATGAGGCTTTCCCTTGGCAGCCAGAGTCCTGCCCACAAATTTGTTTTCTAAATGACCACTCCCGGGAGGGGAGCAGAGGCGTCTGGGTGCTTCTTCCTAGCCCCACTCTGGTCCTCACCCTCTACATCCTGCATGTCTCAGAAAGTGAGGACCGAGGCAGAGATCATGCTTTGGGGGCTCTATTCTCAGGCTTGCAAACTCCCAGAAGCTTGGGACATCTGTGACTGGGACCCTCCCAACCCCCACCTTTCTCCCCACTTCCAGGTAGAAAACAAAATATCAAGTTTTCCCATGTAGAGACCTTGGATTGCCTTTTAAAAAATAAGCTGCTGTATATGTGTTTTACTTCAATTAAATAAAAAAGGCAAAAAACAAAACAAACAAACAATAACCTTACTAGGTAAAGCTCGGGCATGGAGGGCAATAGCTTGTAGTCAGTCATTCAACAAGTCTGAGGGGAAGGCCCATGTGCCAGGCATGAGACTCATCACTTCCTGGCACTTACAGAGCTTACGTCTAGCAAGGGAGACAGACAACGCACAGTAAACCTAACAAATAAGCCCCTTGTATAGTACATGTAAAGGTGGTGAGTGCTGTGGGGGAAAATGGAGACAAGTGAGGGCCACTGGGAGGGCCGGCTGGGGCGGGTGCCCTGGAGTTCTCCTTGGTTAGAACAGAACAGACCCAGCAAATGTGGCCTCGCTGGGACCTGGCAAACAGAAGGTGCTCCATGAAGTTCATTTCCTTCCACTTTTCTGAGCCTGAAAATTCTCATACCTGCAAGTTTGAACTTCACCCTTTATACACAGCAAGCAAATGACAGCCACAGGCTGAATAGAGGTGAACAATATAAGAAAACTACACCACAGTTAGGATCTTATTTTGGTGGTATTGCAGGGGGAAGCACGTACCAGCCTAAAGAATATATATTATGGCCCTGGCTGGTTTGGCTCAGTGGATAGAGCATTGGCCTGCAGACCGAAGGGTCCCAGGTTCGATTCCAGTCAAGGGCACATGCCTCTGTTGCCGGCTTCTCCATGAGGTAACCAGTCAATGTGTTTCTCTCACATTCATAGTTCTCTCTGTCTTTCCCTCTCTCTCTCCCACTCTCTCTCTCTGAAAATCAATGGAAAAATATCCTCAAAAAAAAAAAAAAAGAAAACCAAAGAAAAAATATCCTCAGGTGAGGATTAAACAAACAAACTACTCGATTTAATAAGTGAATTCAGCAAAGTTAAAAAAAAGAATATATATCATATTCTTTTCATTGTACAGGGGTGGGCAACAGTAGGTTTACAGTTGTGAGTATACAAAACACAGAGTTTAATCTTGTGTTATTATTTATTCTTGTGTTATATACTTTTCCATACAAACAACTGTAAACCTACTTTTGTCTACCCTGTATATAAATATAAAGCAAGTTTCCAGCACTGGGAGGCAATACAAGGCTGTAAGTCCCATATGCCTAACAATGGACTTAGGCTGAAAAGGACTGACGTGAGCTCAGGAACTCCTTTTAAATATATTTTTATTGATTTCAGAGAGGAAGGGAGAGGGGAGAGAGATAGAAACATCAATAATGGGGATCGAGCCCGCAACCCGGCATGTGCCCTTGACTGGAATTGAACCTGGGACTCTTTAATCCGCAGGCTGACGCTCTGTCCACTGAGCCAAACCAGCTAGGGCAGGGGCTCCTTTTAAAGTGTACCTTGGTCTGGGTGGGGTTGCATGGATGTATGCATATGAAAGAACTCATGGAGCTGTAGCTTCAGACTTGTACATTTGTATAGAGGTGCATTCTACCTCAGAATTAAAAGAAAGACGTGGTTGCTGTTGTCCTTGAACTTAGGTACTGCCCCCGTGCTGGCAGTTCCTCAGAACTCAGCCTTGTACTGGGAGGGGGCCCTTCAGCCTGGGCACAGGCAGGGCAATGGCGTGTAGTCAGTCATTCAGCAAGTCTGGGGGGAAGGCTTATGTGCCAGGCTGCAGGCTGCAGGGATGCAGGGGGACCTGCCCAGGGACATCTGCATCGTGAGGAGCCCGGGACAAGCCTGCGATCACACTGCCTCTACTGACATCCCTGCCTTAAGGGCCCTGGGCTGGAGGTGGGCGGGGGAGGGGGTACCGCATACCCACACAGGAAACAACAAAGCAAGTCCTGGCAAGGCCGCTGGGTCTCAGGGGCAAAGCTCTTATCGGGCTGAGAAGGCACATCTTCCCTGCTTCCCAGCATCTACAACAGGCAGCTGCTGAGTAGTAGCAAGGTCATGGGATAGTCTCAGACTGGATGGGAAGTGGCTGTTTGCACCCAAGAGGACAGCTGGCTGAGTAAACATGGAGCCACCCGTCATCTCCGTCTCACCCTGTGTCCCTCTGTCTCCCAGAGATTCTTTGTCTCTTTATCTCTCCCAGAGACTCTGCGACTCTTCCTGCCACACAAGACACAGTCAAGGTTCTACACTTTCTTTAGTAGATTCCTAAACACCCATCTGAGGGGGCACGGAGACCCGAAGAGTCCACAGGTCTCCGTGGGTGCAATGTTAGACACTTCACATCATGAACCCTCGGAGATGTCAGTTGTTTGTTTTTACTAGAAAAGCGTTCCCTTGGGAGGATGAGCTCTAGGCAAGGTCGGAAGCTGCAGCACCAGAAGCCCAAATAAAACCGGCAGGCGCAGGCCCTCACTGGTGCTCCGTGTTCTTCTCCGCAGGAGGCAGTGTCCCGGCGCCCAGAAGAAGGCCAGTTGGCCCGAATCCAAAATGTTGTCCAGCAGCTTCCCCCGCCCCATTATAGGTAAGAATCCCCGATGAAGGAAAGCCACAGCCCGTCGGTGTGGTGTATACCGCAGGCGCATAAAAGGGAACAGATTCGGTGGACAGGGGCTTGCCTGGGGCTTTTCGAGTCGGGGAACAGGTCACTTTTCTCAGAGTGAGTTGGCGTCTGGCTGGGAACACTGATGGGAAGGGACGGCCATGTCCCAGTTTCTTACAGAATACCCCTCCGAGTCCCACCCCGGTTCGGATCACAGGAGGATAGCCTCACAGTGATATCCTAGGTTCTTACCCAGATTCATAGAGGAACCAAATCCATGGAAACCGAGATGGTTTTAAAACAGGCTCTGGCATTTGGCTGACTGATCTCTCTATCTGAGCATCAGCACCATCCCTGACACCACCCCATCCTTACATTTCATTCTCACCAGTTAGCCCCTAATCTTAGTCTTCCCCAGTGTTCCCTAAGCCTGCCCACCTGTTACACGAGACCAGATTTTGGTGTGGCATAAGGAAGAACTTTCTGGCAATAATAGGTGTTTTTCTTCCAAGACCGCTCCCCTTCCCCACCCTGGGCCAACATGCCGAGGGCCGAGAAAATTGCTTCCACCAGTCTTGATATTGTCCTGCTATTCCTTGAAAAGTCACGAGAGAGAAATATTTATTTAGTCTCTCAAACCCAAACTTGGAATTACCTCCAGGCTTCCCCCAGGCCCTGGAGTTTCTCACTTTGTAAAAATAAATAAAATGAACCGTTACAGGACCTTGGAATACCTGATCCGACACCTGGCTCACATCGCCTCCTTCAGCAGCAAGACCAACATGCACGCCAGGAACCTGGCCCTGGTGTGGGCGCCAAACCTCCTCAGGTAACCACCACACCCGCGCCTTCTTCCCACCCCAGTGGGCTCAAAGCAGCCCACCGGTGAAAATAAAGACTGGATTCTTCAAAATTGAAGACACACCAGTAGCTAAGTGGTATTTTGTAGCACCGGTGGGTTAAATGTGATTTTAAAAGCCCAGGTTCTTTGCCTGCTAACCTGGAAACTCTGGGTTCCAGAGGCATTTTTTTTGGCTACCACCAGAATGTGACTAAAGTTATGGGTCTGTATGTTATAATTTCTTAAAAGGACCTGTCTTGTCTCTGTGGCTCATTGGCTTTTGTTGGTTGTGGTGGGGTCACAGCTGGCTATAACCTAAACCAACTGCTTGATATGACTTCATAAATGATGAACAGCCCCACAGAACTATTGGGTGGGGGTAGAAGGAGATCTGATTTTTTTTAAAAAAGCAATTCCTGTATATTTGCTAAAATAGTGTTATAGTCTTGCATTGTCTATAATTCCTGGTAATTGTTTTAAATTTGTTCAATATGTTGGGCTTCACAGCCTTTGGACAGTCCCTTTAATTGGTCTTAATAGTTAAAATATTATACAGATTCACAAAGTGTATACATTGAAGAGATGATGGGTCTTGTACAAAAGGCCCACTGGCTCCCCCTTACTGCTCTAGAGCTGACTCACTGAGCTGAATGTGTTTCTTCCTCGATTTAGGTCCAAAGAAATCGAAGCCACTGGTTGCAATGGAGATGCAGCCTTCCTCGCTGTCCGGGTCCAGCAGGTGGTGATTGAGTTCATATTGAATCATGTGGATCAAATCTTTAACAATGGTGCACCTGGGTCTCTGGAGAACGAAGGTAACGGCTCCTCCTGGCATACACCCCTCCAGCCCATCCTCCTTCCTTGCCTTAGTCACAGGGCCCAAGAATAAGTTAGGGTGGCCTCGGTCTTAGCTCTGAGTGTTGGCACTGTGTATGTGCTGATGTGTGTGTGTGTATGTGTGTGTGTGTGTGTGTGTGTCAGTGCCTTGGGATTGTGCATGTATACCTCTGTATGTGTGCAGCAAAGATGTGGTGTGTTTGCAGGTGGCTGTAGCAGGTTTCTGATCAGCTGCATATTTGGACTATCCCATGAGTGTGGCATGGTGATGGCAAAACCCGCTTCTCTCGAATATCTGCCCATTATCTGCCTTCCAGACACCCCACGAAACCTGGATCCCTGTAGGTTATTGATTTATGGAAAGCTAAAAAACCTTCGAGTGACCGGAATGCTGGCTAAGGGTATTATTACCTTCTTTGTGAATTTGTGTGTGTGTCTATGTGTGTGTGTGTGTGTGTGTCAGTGCCTTGGGATTGTGCATGTATACCTCTGTATGTGTGCAGCAAAGATGTGGTGTGTTTGCAGGTGGCTGTAGCAGGTTTCTGATCAGCTGCATATTTGGACTATCCCATGAGTGTGGCATGGTGAACCATAATAATGTCCTATTGGTTTTAATAAGATCTCAAACTATTTATTATCTAGAGGCACTGGCAGCTTTCCCCTCTTTAACTATTAGATTCATCTTTACTTTCAGTATGATATATTTCAGAAGACCCTTATGCCTTCATCTTGAAATCTTGAGTGAATGAGTTAAGAGGCAGCATGTTCAGACTCACATGCATATTCAGAATGCATTTACTTCTCAAGCATTTCTTGAGTGCGTAGTTTGTTCTGCCTTCTGCCAGGTACTATGCATACAAAAATTAGTGTGTGTTCGTAGGCATGTGTATGCAGAGACTAGTTAGCATACACTGTAGCCATATTGGTGAGAAAGATATAGCTATTTCAGGTTGTACGTTATGGGATGCAAAATATTATATTTCAGTCCTATCACTCTTTTAATGGCACAGTGAACTCTGGGAATGAATTGGATAACATTGTGTGAACTCATGTGAGCCCAGTTTTTTAAAAAACAGAAATCCAGTTGACCAAGAAGCCTGGGAGAAGATGGCGGCGGAGTAGGTGGAAGTTACACTCACCGCCTCTCAGGCCCAAACTGGAATTGCAACTAAACTATAGAACAATCAACCTGAGTAACTAGCTGAACAGAAGTCTTATAGCCAAGGATTTACAGAAGCCACATTGAGATTGGTAGGCAGGGCGGCGACACAAAAAGGGCTTTCCCCACACATACATGCAGTGGCTGAGAATCCGGATGGATACCTCATCTGCAAACGTTCCTCCTGAGGAACATGGGGGCCTTAACCCCGCACTGGGCTCCCAGCCCAGAGCAACAGAGCCGGGAAGAGGTGCCTACATAACATCTGGCTGTAAAAATCAGTGGGGATTCGGTCCACCTGGGAGAGGTGGAAGTCTGCTAGAGACCTAGGTGCCCAGCTCACAAAATCTTATTTGCGGCTATTCACTCAGGGCTCCAGCAAAGGGAGGACAGCTCAGAGTGGACTAGAGCCGTGGTCGGCAAACTGCAGCTCACCAGCCACATGCGACTCTTTGGCCCCTTGAGTGTGGCTCTTGCTAAGCCTTAGTAGTGCCCTACTTAAGTTAATAACAATGTACCTACCTATGTAGTTTAAGTTTAAAAAATTTGGCTCTCAAAAGAAATGTCAATCATTGTACTGTTGATATTTGACTCTGTTGACTAATGACTTTGCCGACCACTGAACTAGAGTCTTTTGAGGACAGACTGGGTTGTATGGTTCTGGGCAGAAAGCTAAAGGGACAGCCACCAGCGTCCCTTGCTGAGTCCCTCTCCTGTACCCCCCACAGACACCATCTTTCCTGAGTTGAGCACTCCCCTCTAAACTGCTGATTTCTCAACTGAAATATTTCAGGCCAGAGGGATTGGCATGAAATATTTAATGTTATGAAAAGCAAGGACCTACAACCAAGACTACTCTACCAGCAGTGCTATCATTTAAAATAGAAGGCAATGCCCTAGCTGGTTTGGCTCAGTGGATAGAGTGTCGGTTTGTGGACTGAAGGGTTCCGGGTTCCGTTCCAGACAAGGGCACATGCTCAGGTTGTGGGCTTGATCCCTAGAGTGGGGCATGCAGGAGGCAGCCGATCAATGATTTTTCTCTCATCATTGATGTTTCTATCTCTCTCTCCCTCTCCCTCCTCCAATAAAAATATATATAAATAAAATAAAATAAAAGGCAAAATAAAGAGCTTCCCAGCCAAAGAAAAGCTAAAGGAGTTCATTACCACCAAACCAGTATTACAAGAAATGTAAAAGAGTTTTCTTAAGAAGAAGAAAGAAAAATAGGGGAAACATAGTTATAAAGAATAAAATGGCAATAAATGTATACCTGGCAATAATCACTTTAAATATAAATGGCTTAAATGTTCCAATCAAAAGACATAGGGGGGAAAAAAGACATAGGGTAGCTGAATGGATAAGAAAACAAGGCACATACATATGTTGTTTATGAGAGACCCACCTCAGAATTAAAGATACACACAGACTAAAAGTAAAGGGATGGAAAAAGATACTTCATGCAAATGAAAATGAAAAAAAAAGCTGGGGTAGCAATACTTATATATGACAAAATAGACTTTAAAACAAAGGCTATAGTAAGAGACTAAGGACACTACATAATGAAAAAAGGACCAATCCAACAATAGTAATATAACCCTTGTAAATATTTATACACCCAACATAGGAGCACCTAAACATATAAAGCAAATACAGTCATTGTAAGGGATTTTAACAGCTCATTGACATCAGTGGATAGATCTTCCAGACAAAAAATCAACAAGGAAACGGCAGCCTTAAATGACACTCTAGACCACATCTGTTGCAGGTTCAACTCCACCCCTGTCAGGGTGCAGAAGGCAAACAATTGATGTGTCTTTCGCACATCAGTGTTTCTGTCTCTCCCCCCCAACCCTTTTCTCTCTCTCTCCCTTACTGCCTCCCTTCCACTCTCTCTAAAAATCAATGAAAGAATATCCTCAGGAGAGGATTAACAACAACAATTTAAAAAATGGTGGTACATATTTACAATGGAATGTTACTTAGTCATAAAAAAAGAATGAAATTTTACCATTTGCAACAGCATAGATAGACCCACAAGGTATTATGCTCAGTGAAATAAATCAGTCAGAGAAAGACAAGTACCATATGATTTCACTGATATGTGGAACCTAAAGAATAAAATAAGCGAACAAACAAAATTGAAACAGACCCATAGACAGTCAACGGGTGGTTACCAGAGGGGTAGGATTTGAGGAACTGGGCGAAAGAGGTGAAGGGATTAAGAAGTACAAATTGGTAGTTACAAAATAGTCTCAGAGATGTAAATGAAACATAGAGAATATAGTCAACAGTATTGTGGTAACTATGTATGGTGCCAGTTGGGATACTGGAAATATCTAGGGAAATACTATGTAAAGTACATATATGTTTGTAGCTACTGGGATGTATACCTAAAACCAATACAAAATAAAATTAGGGGGAAAATCTCTCTCTCTTTTTTTTTTAAGAAACCTGATAACTACCAATTTTGTGAGAGTGGTTTTCCTACAATAGTGCCCATCAATACCATCCAGAGGCTTGGTGAAGCACAATTTCCTGGGCCTCACCCCCCGGTTTCTGATTCAGCATGTCTGGAGTGCTGTTCAGAATTTGCATTTCTACCAGGTTTCTAGGTGATGCTGCTGCTAGTGGTCAGGGTCCACGCTTGGAGAGCCAATGGTGTATGAGAACCATATTACAAACCATTTGTTAGCTGATCGAAGTGTTCTTTTCCAGTTTAGCTAGTATCTTTGGAAAAAACAAGTATAATCATGAGAATAATCTATTGCAATTATCATCAAATGTTGACTCCTGATATAATTGTTCCCACCTCACCCTGTCTTCTATGTAGTTTACAAGCTCTCTTTTAAAATTTGTTTTTATTGAGATAAAATTCATATACCATAAAATTCACCATTTTGTCATTTTAGTGTAAAATTCAGTGGTTTTTTACTGTATGTATTTAGAGAATTATGTAACCATCACCACTCTCTGATTCCAGAACATTTTCATCACTCTAAAAAAAATCCCATAGTCATTAAGTAGTCATTCCATACTTTCTCCTCCTCCCAGATCCTCATCTACTTTCTATGGTTTACCTCTTCTGGACATTTCATATAAATGGAATTATATAAAACATGGTCTTTTGTGGCTGACTTCTTTCACTTACATGTTCTCAAGCTTTATATCAGTATTTCATTTCTTTTTATGGTGGAGTAATATTCTATTGTATAAAATACCAGATTTTGTTTAGCCATTCATCAGTTTATGGACATTTGTGTTGTTTCAACTTTTTTTTTGTTTTTATGAGCAATGCTGCTATGAACATTCATGCACAAAATTTTGTGTGAATGTATGTTTTCAATTCTCTTGGTTATATATGGAGGAGCAGCTGACATTTCTTTTATCTTTATTTCAACTCCCCCACTATAGATGTATTATTTATTGTAAGCTATATAAATCCTTTGTGAAAGTCAATGAGAAGTAATATGCATTCATTCATTCATCCTTTTGAGTCAACCAATAATTTACTGTGGACTTATTCCATGCTAAGAACTATTGCCAGCACTCCATATACATCATCTCATTGACTTATCACAACAACCATCATAAAGTTGTTATCAAATTTATTTTATATGTGAAGGAACAAAGAAGCAGGAAAGCTTAGTAATTCTCCAAAGTCACCCGGGAAGTAACTGGTGGGTCAGAACATTGAACCTACAATCTACCAGCCATGCTCTTTTCTTAACTCTATGCTGCACTGAACTGAAACCTGAATGACTAAAGGAAGCAGTCATGTGAGGATCTGGGAACACATGTGAGGAAAAATTAGGAAAATAGATGAATAAACCTCTGTATTTTATTTATTATTAATGCCTAAGAGCAATGTTCTTCCAAACAGCAAATCCATGACTGTTGGTGTTAAGGCTGTTGCTAATTCTAACCTGGAAACGCCTGTTCTTTTTGTGAACATTTTCTTAATCTTTTGTCCTGCATTCTGAAATCCAATTTACTCTTTTTAAAAAATGTATACTTTTATTGATTTCAGAGAGGAAGAGAGAGGGAGGAGATAGAAACATCAATGATGAGAGAGAATCATGGATCAGCTGCCTCCTGCACGCCCCCATTGGGGATTAAGCCCACAACCCAGGCATGTGCCCTGACCGGGAATCAAACCATGACCCCCTGTGCCATAGGTTGGTGTTCATCCACCGAGCCACACCAGCCGGGTCCAATTTACTCCTGACTCTTTAATTCCTGATTGCCTTCAATACTTATTATTCAATGAATTTAATTTAAATGTTTTTATGATGAGTTTGCATTGAGTTTGGTAAGGTAACATACTAATGTTTACGTAAAATGGAAAAGGTCATATCCTCTGGAATTTTAGATTTGGAAATAGGGTTCTGTTTCAAACTGGGAAGATTATAGAAGTCATAGAATCCAGTACCTTTAATTGATAAATGAGAGCAGTGAGGCCAGAAGGATTGTGCTATATCCAAGATGCATTAAAACATGAGTATGTATCGGGCACCTCTAGATGGCGAGGACAGTGTCACTACACAAACAGCAAAGTCGCTGCCTTGCACAGAGCAAAGGTCTGGTTAGGAAGACGGGTAGTAAATAAGTTTACAAATAAATACATTGTCTCTTCAAAGACCATAAATACCATGAAGGTCAGACAGCAGGGTGATGGAATGGTCAGTGACTCGGGGATGTTATTTGGGTACAGAGTGGTCATGGCCTCTAAGGAAATGATCTTTGAACTGAAACCTGAATGACTAAAGGAAGCAGTCATGTGAGGATCTGGGGACACATTTTCCCAACACAGAGAATGGGGAGGGTAAAAGCTCCCAGGTGGCAATGGGCTCATTGTGTTGCAGAACACCGGCCAGTGCCAATGTGGTCTCCAAAGTGGAGTGCTCCACCCTATGGGACACCAGAGACCAAAGTATGGGTGTTAGGAGAAACTGTTGCAATTTCTTTTTTCACTTATTTTTATTGTATACTTTGTAATTTCTATGATTTTATATGCTTTCTATTACATATAATACTAATACAGTGGTAAATACGTATAATTTACAAATACGTGCACTATATATAATGGGAGTATACATTCAAAAAATGTACTGTGTATCTGTGTCGACCACTTGGTGGGCAAGGAGAAGAGAGGAACAGATGGAGGTCCTTGTAGGTCATGCTAAGAGTTTGGTTTGTTCTCAGTGGCATGGCAAGGCCTGGAGGGTTTTGAGCAGGGAGTGCAGGACCTGAGCGTTCTAGCTGCTGTGTGAAGGAGAGACGGAAAGGCAACAAGGCTGGAAGCAGGGAGCCAGTTACGGAGCTATGGCAGAAATCGGGTGGGAGAACATGGTGGCCAGGACAAGCATGTGGGAATGGAGGAAAGTGGCTGGATTCAGGGTATGTTTCGGCAGGTGAGTTATAGGACTTGATTATAGGCTGGAGGTGGGAGAAGGGGTTGCATCAAAGAAAGGAATGAAAAAATAACTACTACAGGTTTTGGTTTATGCAATTGGGAGATCCACGGTGCCATTTGCCAATTTGAAGAAGATCGGAGGGGGTACTGGTCTGGAGGCGAAGAGCCGAAAGCACAAGCTCTGTTCTGAAACGTAGAGTTGGAGATGCCTGTTAAGCCTCCAGGCAGCGCTGATGAGTTGACCTTAGGATCGTGGAGCCTAGATGTAGGGGGAGAAGTAGGTGCTGAACCCTGGTCTCCGGACCCTGTTCTGTATGTTCTCCCACGGCTCCAGTTGCTCCCAGAGTGATTCAATCTTTTAAGTAAATAGATAAATAATTAAGTAACAAGCTAATAATCTAGAATCTACAAACAAATATTGTGAGTAAATTAAATGTAAATAGTTTAACTTACTTTGGATTAAGTAGGAAAACTAAGTTAAATTCAAAACCGTTAATGACAGCTCTTGCGGATCACAGACTTACTTAACTGACTGAATGATGGCCATGCTTCCCTTCCCGGAACCTCCCACAGTCACATTGTCTCCATTTTCTACAGGCCCCTTTGTCAATGGTTTTATTTCCCTTTACCCAGAGAGGGTCATACTCTACAAAGAGAGAGAGTGCTATCAAGGAGCTTTCTAAACATAAAGCGAGTCCTAACCAAAAAAAAAAAAAAAAAGATTTCTTAGTCTTGATTTGTCCAAGTTATCTTTCTTTTTTTTTCTTAATCCTCACCTGAAAATATGTTAGAGAGAGAGAAGAGAGAAACATTGATATGAGAGAGAAACATGGATCGGTTACCTCCCATACACACCCTGGCCAGGAATCAGACCCTCAACCTTTTGGTATACAGGACGACGCTTCAACCACCTGAGCCACTAGGCCAGGGTGGCCAAGTTACCTTTGAATCTCTTCACACCTTCCAAGGTTACAGAAAACTTTGATTGCCAAAAGAGTAAATAGAGGCAAACTTAGATGTCTTCTTTTTCACTTAGATCAGGGTTTCTCCACCTCGGCATTATTGACACTTAGTGCTGGTTGGTTCTTATTATGGGACACGGTCCTGTGCCTCGTAGGATGTTTAGCAGAACCTCAGTCTCCACCCACTAGTGGCAGTAACAATCCCACACGTGCTTGTGACAACCCAAAATATCTCCAGACGTTGCCAAATATCCCTGGCTGGAGGGAGGGCTGCAAAATTGCCTCAAGTTGAGAACAACTGACTGGGAGAAAAGAGATAACCCTGGACTGCACTGATCTGTCATCACTTCTATTTCTAAAAATAAAAACTACAGAAGGAAGGGATTAGCTTGCAAATACCAGATGACTGGGTAGTGAGTAAACAGCCTCTTATCTTTTAGAGAATAGTATAGGCTATTAAATGTCTTTTCACTGCAGAGATAAAAGCCTAGGCCCAGGTGATCTAGGGAAAACACAGGTTCCAACCTTAAATTGCCTGGGAGCACCTGTTTTCCAGCTGTGGAGAGAAGGGGCAATCTCCTGCCTTCCCTTAGCTGAGTGAGCAACCTCCCACCTGGCCAGAGCACTGGGCGGTTTCCAGGGTTAAAGACTCACTGCTGTACTCTGGTCCACAGTAAGTGCTCAGTACATGTTTGTCATATGAATGAATGCATGAATGAATCCTCTTTGAAGAATACAGTTAGTGCAGTTCACCTCCTGAAGGCCCTGTGTACTCTCTGGCTAGTCTGGCCAGGTGGTCTGTGTGTTTCTGTATGCAGACTCTGCCCCAGACCTCACCTGGCCCAAGAGGAGTCACCTGCCAGGAGGTCAGGAAGGGAGGAGCTGTGGGTGGAACCTGGGTGCACAGGCCTCCTCCCAGGAGTCTATGCGGTCTTCTCTTCTCTGTACAGAAAACTGGCCCATCGTGAAGAGCCTGACCTTGCCAGCCCTCTCCCTGCCCATGAAGCTGGTGAGTCTGGAGGAAGCTCAGGCCCGGAGCCTGGCTACTAACCATCCTGCCCGGAAGGAAAGGAGGGAGAATAGCCTGCCCGAGATCGTGCCTCCCATGGGCACTCTCTTCCACACTGTCCTGGAGTTACCAGACAACAAGTAAGTGGCATTCTTTGCAATTCTGGGAGATGGTTGGGAGGAGGGTTTCAGAGGAGGAAGGAACATGGTCTTGGGGCCATGATGGCTGCGTGGGCTGGGGGTGCAGTCTGGGTTGGGGTGTAAGGAAACGTTCCAGAAGAGAAAGGAGCTGTCTCCACAACACTCTCTGTGGCCACTGCCCCAGAGTCATCATGACCCTGCTCTCCCACCAGAGATTCTCAGCACCAGGATGGAGGTGGGGCTCAGAGGCATCAAGAGTCATGGATAAATCCCTCACTCCTTAGTTTAGACAAAGCAGGTTTGACACTTTCAATAGGAACTTTACTAACAAACAAACTTGACTCCCTGCCCCGACCCTTCACCTCCACAGAACATTGCAAAAGGCATAGAGATGAGTGGAGGACAGTTGCCAAATAGCACCACTCTAGGCTGGGAGGTCTGGGCATGTGGCACTGGGAGATGCCATCTCTGGCTTCCACTCCTCCTCTCATACTTTCCAGAGTCCTTCTCCTCCAAACATCATTTAAAATCATAGGATATTTTCTTTCCTTGTTTCTCCCTCTCACTTCCTCTGTTGCAACCCTGGTCTGCACTATCAAGTGCATGTTCTCTGTGCACTTCAACCACACCTGCGCGGAACCATACCCCAGTTTAACCCACCCTGTCAAATCCACCCCAAGGCCAAGTGCTTGGAAAAACCCGACCAGATCCAAAGAAACCACCCAGCACTGCAGGTCTCTCTGTGATTGATGGTAAGACATGCTGGGCTGGAGATCGGGTGCTCTGTGAGAACCCTGTGGGGAAAAGGTTCCTTGTGGAGCCGCGAGTTGCAGGGTTCCATCCTGGAGCTTGATGAAGTCTGAGTGCTGGGCTGAGTCAGAGCTGGGCAAGGTGTCTGTGGTGACCCCTGGTGGTGACCCCTGGCGGCACCAGGCTCCTGGGATGGAGTCCAGCACTGTCATTTCCCGCCTCCTACTGAAGCGGCCTGGTGCCAGGCATCAGGGAAATGAGAGACACACTAACTACCCTGGGCATTGCTCTGCAGTGACCACTGTCCACACCCAGCAGCCTGTCACTCTCCCAGGCCAGACTCTTGCACACTGCTTTCTCATACACCCGCTCTGTGGTTCATGAAAGTTTTCACGAGCTCTTTTCTCACCTGTGGAGGTGACAGCGGTGTGGTCCACAGTGCAGGGAGCATACCAGGACTGAGCTCCATGGTCTTTAGTGTTTACTCCTGTAAAACATAGGGACCTCTGAAAACCCAGGACGAAAGTGCTTACGAGAATTCCTCCCAGAATTCCCAGAACTGTGTGGTTGCTTGTGACCTCTGAGTCTCCCGTCAATCCTTGCCTCTGTGTGCCAACCACGGTCTTTAATGGCATGCCTCTGCCCACTTCTCTGGGGAATGTGGTCCTTTGTGCTGACTCATGAAAGCCTCGCTTGGTCATCTAGGGCATCCCCGGACACGGTGAAAGTCAGGCTCAACTTGGGTTTTAGAGGGGAATTTCCTGAAATGTCCAGGCCATTCATAACTAGAATGTGTTTGGGTTATTTCTTCTCAAGTTAAAAGCTGCCTTGAAATGACTAGTTATGAAACTAACCCCATATGGCTTGGCTCTTGTAGAAGAAAACTCTCCAGTAAATCAAAGAAGTGGAAATCAATATTTAATCTGGGACGTTCTGGATCAGACTCCAAATCCAAGCTGAGTAGAAATGGGAGCGTGTTTGTGAGAGGACAGCGGCTCTCAGGTAAGAATCAGTGACAGTTGTGCTGATGAGATATTTCCCCCCTAATTCTGCTCTGTAAGTCTTTGGTTTGATCACATTAAACTCACTAGCCCTGAAAGAGAAACTTATACATTAACTAGAGAGTCTTTCTGGTTTTTTGGTTTTTTTAGATAATTTTAGATTTACAAAAAAAGTTGCAAAAGTAGTACTCAAAGGACCCATATGCTCGTTATGCAGCTTTCTCCAATTTTTAAAAAATATGTATTTTTATTGATTTTAGAGAGGAAGGGAAAGGGGAAGAGAGATAGAAACATCAATGATGAGAGAGAATCATTGGCCAGCTGCCTCCTGCGTGGCCCAGTGGATCAAGGCCACAACCTGGGCATGTGCCCTGACCAGGAACTGAACTGTGACCTACTGGTTCATAGGTCGGATGCTCAACCACTGAGCCACACCAGCTGGGCAGCTTTTCCAAAATTTAACATGCTACAGCACCATAATATAATTATCAAAGTCAGATAATTAATATCTATATAATACTATGAAGTAACTTACTAACTTTATTCATATTTGGCCAGTTGTTCCACTCATGTCCCCCTCCAGGAACCCACATTGCATTGAATTGTCCTGCTCCTTAATCTCCTCCAATCCAGAGCAGTTTGTCAGTCTTTCTGACCTTGACTGGCCCTGTATTTTGTAGAATAGACCTAAGTTCAGGTTTGCCTTATATTTTCTCATGGATAGAGGTTATGAAGGTTGTGCATATCTGTGTGTCAGATCGGGAGGAGACATGTCAATACATTATGGCTGGTGATGTTAACTTGATTAAGCGCTGTCTACAAGATTTTGTCCCTATCAAGTTATGATTTTATTCCTTTGCAATTAAGAAGTATCTTGTGGGAGATATTTTGAGATTTTTCAAATATCCTGTTTCTTATCATACTTCCATCCATGAATTTTAGCATCCATCAATGGATCTTGCCTACAACTGCGATGTCTGCCAAATGGTCATTTTCTATTTTCATTATTCCTCCTACATTTATTAGTGAACTCTAACATAAAGATCTGTCCCTTCTCCCCCAGAGTCAAGGTCATGATTTTTAAATAGAAATGGAAATTATATCTGAGTAGTGAATAGGAATTGATACAGGAATGAATAGAAGGACCCACTATGCAAAGGGGGATATAACCAATCCAGGTAAATATCATGTCAAAAAGGGAAGACCAAAGAAATTTGCCATAATGATGTTATAGATTAAAAGTATGGTTTTTTAAAATATGGCCAAAAGTTATAAAAAAAAAAGTTGTAAAAGGTAAATGTACAAATGCAGTGAGCAAACCTTGATTGGATGCTAATTTTGAAAAATAAAAAAGACTACAAAAGATCATTTGGGGGATGAATACACTGAATATTAGAATTGTAAATTTTCATAGTATGCTAATGGTTCTTAGAAGACATGTGCTGAAGTTAAAGTTTATAAGGACGAAGTGTCACAATATTGAAATTCACTTTTGAATGATTCCATAAAATATAGGTATGTAGGTTGATATAGATGTCGAAATCAATAAAGCAAATGCATGATAAAATGTCAGCCATTGTTATCAACCAAGTGGTAGATTTAGAGCTCAACTTTTGTGAATGTTTGAAGTTTTTAATAGTAAAGATTTTGGGGAAAATTAATGCCTCTAGGGAAAATAAGAGAGAATGTTTTTAAGGACTTTCTTTGATCCCAGTGATTAACTGAATGCCAAGGATGATAAAGTACAGGTGTTTGTCTATTGGAGTAATGAGGATGTCACAGGGTATAGCAGCTACAGTGATTAAGGTTGTAAAATAATAGTAGGTCCAACTCATTGGTTTATGCCAGGGGTGGGCAAACTTTTTGACTCGAGGGCCACAATGGGTTCTTGAACTGGACCGGAGGGCCGGAACAAAAGCATGGATGGAGTGTTTGTGTGAACTAATATAAATTCAAAGTAAACATCATTACATAAAAGTGCAATGAAGGAATCTATAGGGACACCCAGATGTAAGGAAGGTTTCAGGGGCAGCTCTGTCTCCATCTCCATGTTTTCCTCAGCTGTACCCTCTGAATCAGCTTCAATCTCAAACTGGCTTCCTTTGCTGCGACAAAGTGGCTGTAGTAGTTCTGGGCTTTACCTTTGACTATCACTGTCCAGAAGGAGAAAGAACATCATTTCCGGTTGCTTATTCTAAACAGGGACCCTGTTTTTCCAGGAACCTCCATCATGCTCCCCCTATCTCAATCACAGTCACTGAGTCACCTGGATCGATCCCTATGGCCAAGGGAGTTGCTCTGTGCTGATTGGCTTGGGCCTGGGTTCCTGCACCAGTGACTGGCATGAGGAATGGGCTTACATTCAGATGCACCTAAGAAGGACAGGGCTCTGTGAGAAGGGGGAAGGGAAATGGATTCTGGGTAGGCATCTAAAATATGCAGGATATGGGGAAACGTGTCTTTCATAAACTACCCTGGAAAGATAGTCCAGGTAAAAAGGGCAGGTTGCCACAGGTATGGTAGATCAGATTCAAAGCAAAAATTAGGATTCTCAAAGAATTTAAGGGGAAGAGTATCAGGCAAGAAATTCCTTATCTATTATAAGAGATTTGCTTACGCACATCAAAGAAAGAATTTCGGTTACAGAATCAGTGATACAATAAAAGAGGTTCACCAAATAATGAGAAGTTAAAAACAACAGAACAAAACAACAAGCAAAAAAATAAGTGCTTTGCCTCGATGTTGACTTAGGAAAATGTCCACCCCCATGTGGTTTCCAAAAGGAAGAAGTCCAAGGGGAGGTCAGTGGTGGTAAGCTCACAGACGCACAGCGTGTCCCTGGCCAGGGCTTCTCAGCTGGCTGCCCCTCCGAATCGCCCACGGGGTGGTTCTCGCCCACAGCAGCTTTGCCTCAGGAGGTCTGTGGTGACATCAGAGCATTGGTCCTTTCTAACAAGCTCCCCGGTGATATGCAGTCAGGCCTGAAAACTGCTGGATTAATATCTCATAAACAAACTAATCAGAGATAGATCATCAAACTGGCTCATTTCGATAGGATGCAGGGATGAAATGAAAGAACCATCCGTGTTAACGCAAGTGGCTCTCTGTTACCTTGACTGTTGCCTATGTGGTCACTTTTCATCAGAGAAATGCTGCTGGATCCCTAAACACTGAAGACTGGGGTGAGAGTGGGGGAGTTTATGGTCATAATCCATCAGTGTGGTCTCCATAAGTGGCATGTGGACTTGCTATCTGTTGAAATATGAACATGAAAAAAGTGAATCAGTGGAGTAATACATTTAAATGCGTTTTTAATCTTTTCTATAACTAAAGAAAATTTAAAAATCGATTCATCATGAATAGCATTGGAAATTTGTTTTGATGGGGGGGACAGCAGGTAAAAGGGTGTTTACCCATATTTAGAGAATGGAAATGAAATAAGAATAAGATAAATTGGGGTATTGGCAGAATGAAGACGCATAGAGGGGTATACTGGGATTTGTATATCATCCCAGGGACTCCAGGAAGCCCTCCAAAATGAACTCCTTTGAGTGGGGAAAATCCCAAAGTCCTGAGGATAATCTAAGCGGGAACTCAAGGACCTAAAGACTGCCAGGTCCCTGACAGAAAAACATAATCTAAATATAGCCATGAGTCCTAGCTGGTTTGGTTCAGTGGATAGAGCATTGGCCTACGGACTGAAAGATCCCAGGTTTGATTTCTGTCAGAGGCACATGCCTGGGTTGCAGGCTTGATCCTCAGTGTGGGGCGTGCAGGAGGCAGCCATCAATGATTCTCTCTCATCATTGATGTTTCTATCTCTCTCTCCCTCTCCCTTCCTCTCTGAAGTCAATAAAAAATATATAGAAATATAGCCATGGGCCAAGGAGCCCTGAGTGCTTAGTTTCCATCCAGAAAAGGGGCCAGAGAATCCTTGGTGACTGTTCCCAACAGCAGCTGCTGTGGCCACCAAGCCCCAAGGAGCTGCACCATCAGAAAGAGGGTCCAGAGGGAAAGGTGGACACTGATGGCCCTGCGACAGCAGTGTTCTCAGCCTCCAGGACACTCGGGGTCATGAGGTCACTGCCCCTCAGGCTGACCTGGGAAACAGCGGAAGTCCAGAAGTGCAGCTCCCGAAACAAAGGGAAAAGGTTGTTTCAGGATACACGAGCAAGGCTCACTGGCCAGGCAGTGTGAGGACAATCATCAGTTTGTAACCTGTGAAAATAACAGGTCTTCGAAGGATAAGAATTCTGGCTTAGTGTGAGATGTGAGGAGGTTGAAGGCCATCTTGCCATCACCAAGGGTTTGAGTGAGGATGGCCGTGTCCTCCCCCAGCATATGGGCCTCAGGCAGAGAGAGGCCACAAGCCCGGGAGCCAAGGGCTAATGCGGAACCTCCAGAAGGAGCTGGGTTTGGAGCAAGGAGGGAAAGGGGGAATCTTTAAAAGAGGGGCAACGTCAAGTTTGGGGTAAGGCCAACTCTGAGTGCTTCTGGAACCATCCCCTAGTTTGCCTTTTATGGCTGAACCCTGGTCTATTCTGAATAACAACAACAACAGTAGCTACTTTGTATTGAGCATCTACCCTATTCTAGGTTATTAGAACCTACTTATTTCATATGCATTACTCATTTACTCCTCTCAGCAGCTCTATTTTTCCTCATTTTACATGTGAGAAAACTGAGGGTTAGGAAAGGTGAGCTGCTTATCTGAAGTCACAGGCCCAAAGTGGCAGAGTTTGGATTCAAAGCCAGATCTGTCTGAATTCAAGTTTCTTTACATGAGTTCTGGGCTCCCATTCAGCTTCCAAACCGCCCTCTTTCCCCTGGAGCAAACTTGACCTACTAGTAGAAGGAAAGACCTTCCAGATAATTCACCTCCCTGAAAAGAGATGGTATCTGTGAAAGTGCCTAATCCTGAGCCTGGAATACGTTTTTACTTACTTAAGCCACACTCTTCCAAAAACCTGCTTAGGTGGCTTACAACGATGCACAGAGTCCACCAGGCACATAGTAGGTGCTCATATTAAATGTTTGGTTGGGTGTCATCTGCTCCAGCGTGAGGTTGGTGAGTGACATCTCAAAGAGCAAAGCTGCACCTGGGAGAAAGGTGACCGACCAGGTCCCCGGGCCCTCTCACCTGTTGTACCAAATTCTTCATCGGTGCTGAGAGATGAGGCTTTGGCCAAGACTCCTGCTCTCTGGCCTGCCCCATAGGAGGGGCTATCTGGAGCCTCGTGGATTCTACCCCATAACTGAATCTTTGAATCCTTGATGGGCAGCAACATTGGGCTTAGGACTCCTCATTTGCTGATAGCTAGTATTGGGCAAAGTTATAACTTACCTTTATCTGTATAATGTTAATAAAACTTTGATCTACAGATGCCTTGTCTTTATAAGGTCCATTCCAATCCGAAAGTAGGAACATCTAGGTGGAGTGGGGGATGTTTCCCAAAGGGGAATATTATAAATACTTGGAAAACTTTGCTAAAGAAACTTTTCTTGTGTGCTGACAGTGCGACCTATTGTTCTGAGCGCTTCCTCTTACTATGCCTTCAACAAGGATATTTTTTTCCTTTTATTTCTAGTGGAAAAAGCTACTATCCGACCAGCCAAAAGCATGGACTCGCTGTGCTCAGTGCCCGTGGAAGGTGAGGTTTTACAGTGGTGTTTGGAACTGGCGATTACAGCTGGGAGACTGGAGTTGCCACACCAGACTTGCCTTCATTAGCTGCTGGGCCTGCTCTCTCCCGTCACGCGGACACGCACAACCCCCAGTCCCATCCCTCCCTGGCTTTTTCTGAACTCAAGGGGTTCACATAGCCCTTGCATTAACTCCCCGTAAAGGGCCATCCTCTGTCTCCAGCCTTCCTCTAACCACAGATGGAGACGACAGCTATTTTACATTCACACCTGAACCCGGTTAAAGGTCAACATCTGAAATCCAAGGCTTCTCCCTCGGGCATAGAAAAGGGCCAGGCACTGGGTTCTACCTCAGAATTTTGTGCCTCGGTACTTATGTAGTATGTGTCTTGAATGGGTGTGTTTCCATAGACATTAGCTTTCTCATTGTCAAGTCATGATTTTGAGTCGGTGGTTTCATTCATTCGTCAATAAACATTGATAGGCACCAGCCTGGCATGGCGCTGGTCATCCCTTTTTGGAGTAGATGAGTACACAGTTGCATGCAAGGTGACACCTACTATCAAAGCGACACCTCACCTCCTTGGTTCTTACAGCTGTAGCCATCAGGGCTGACTTGCCTGTATCTCTCTCTCTGCTAAGCAGCCCACAGCACTGCCACAAGGGCTTCCCTAGCAGAGGCGAAACTCCCCACATTTACCCCACGACTTTCCAACCCCTTTAATAGAAAACGTTTTGCTCTTTGATAAAGGAAGCAATCTGAAATAATATAGAAAACCTTTAGAACAACTTTTAAAAATAGTTCTCAACTTGTAAAATACTCAACGAACTCTTTTTAAACTGACTCAATACTTTCATCATTTCTCGCCTGTATAGTCATCCATTTGCTTTGGTCTTTGAAACCTCTTGAGGCAATTCATGCCCAGTTTTACAGAATTTAACATTTCAAAATCCAGGTCAGCACTTTCATGGGTGTTGGGCAGGTTATCGAACCCCTGGAGTCTCTCTCCATTTCCTCAGGTGTGAGAGAGAATTGCACTTCCCCACGGAGTGGTCGTGAGAATTTTATACCTAAGGTTACACATCCAGCAGAGCACTCGGGACCTGGCTGGGAATTACTCGCCAGATCCCAGGCAACTCACCTGTCATCTCCCAGCTTCTTTACTTCCCGTACAGGTTCTTCCCTTCTTTGCCTTCCTTCCTCAGCCTGTCAGAAACTCACTCCTCAGGACTGGGCTCGGTGAGGTGGAGTGCATTTGCATTCCTAGTGTCTCATCCTCCCAATCAGCAGGAGGAAGCCCGGGAAAGGGAGAGAGCCTAGCTGAGAACGGCATTTGTTTCCTTGCCTGGGAATCAAACCCCTGTCTGGGCCCACCTGCCAGAAGTTTCAAAGCAAAATAAGATTCTGTTATTTTGCCCTCTTAGTCTCCTTCCTTTTGAGCAAACATCATTCTGTCTGCTCCCGCCCGTCCTTTTATTCTCATGATCTACATGTGATGCTTGGAGGGTGACTGCTCTGTTAGCAATCCTGGCAGTGGCCTTCCTTTGGAAACGGCTCTCCCTGCGAAGCTGAAAGCAGACACATGTAACACAGCAAGTGGCCCTGTCAGGGCCTCCTAACAGAGCAGGCGCATGAGAAGATGCTTCCTATCTTGTCAGCCAGAGGTCCTGAGCCTGTCTCCACATTAGGATGCTGTGCCCTCATTAGGATGCTCTGCCTTTCCCGTAGGCAGTGCCTTCTCTTACCGGCGGCTGACCGTGTGTTTGCCTGCTTTTTCACTAGGGAAGGAGATTTTATTCCAGCCGCGAAAATGCACGCGACCAGCATTGGCAGCTCCTGCGACCTCACCAAGCAGGAGGGTGACTGGGGCCAGGAGGGGATGCCAGCGGGGGCCGAGGGGGGCTTTGACGTGAGCAGTGACCGAAGCCAACCCCAGGGCGCTCAGGCCCGGCCCCCTCCGGAGCAGCTGAAGGTGTTCCGGCCCATTGAGGATCCCGAGAGCGAGCAGGCAGCCCCGAAGATGCTGGGCATGTTCTACACCTCGAACGACAGCCCCAGCAAGTCCGTCTTCACCAGCAGCCTCTTCCAGATGGAGCCTTCACCCCGACACCAGCGCAAGGCGCTGAACATCTCCGAGCCCTTTGCCGTGTCCGTGCCGCTCCACGTGTCGGCTGTCATCAGCACCAACAGCACCCCGTGCCGGACACCCCCAAAGGAGCTGCAGTCTCTCTCCAGCCTGGAAGAGTTTTCTTTCCAGGGGTCAGAGAGTGGAGGCTGTCCTGAAGAGAAGCCCCCAGGAGCCGAGACTTCTGCAGGTAACGCGAGGCAGGGGAGGGCTCTCTTTCCACTGCAGGAGATTGAAAACCAGCCTCACATTTGCTTACACAGAGTTTGCAAGAAAGTGCAGCAAAGTGGCTCAGCCTGTGGGCGCCGAGCCAGACCGTCTGTCAGGAAGCTGTCAATCACAATCACAACCGTCTTTGTAGATAACAGATTTCTGTGACCTTAGGCTACAGACTTGACGTCTCAGGGTCTGAATTGACTTGTGTGTGAAGTGAAAGATGGGGTTACACGGGGTGTCTCAGCCTCAGCACTAGTGGCATTCGGGCCTGGGTAATTCTCTTCTTGTGGGGGACTGTTGGCTACTTTGCAGGATTACTCAGCAGCATCCATGACTTCTACCCACTAGATGCCATTAACCACTCCCACCACCCAGTTATGACAACCAAAAATGTCTCCAGACATTGCCCAAGGTCCCCTGGGAAGGGGAGAGGCACAGTGGTCTCCAGTTGAGAACCACTGGACAGAGGACCTCCCATCTCTGACGGTCTGCAACTCTGGGATCTGAACACAGGACACGGCTAGGAGGGAAGGGTGGAGAGGGTGAGAGAGCAGTCAGCTGGGAGGATGCTCTCCCCCCTTGGGAAGCAGGATTCGTCCAGTGATTGTGCTGGGAACAGCCTCTCTTAAAATGAGCTGTCAGTCTCTTCCGACCGGTAACTCGCATCCTCATTGCAGCTTCGGTCCCTAAGAAGGCGGCTCTGGAGGATGCCAAGCCAGAGCCAGGAGCAGCGAGGACAGTGGAATGCAGCAAAGGCCTTTCTCTGGAGCCAGGAGCCCAGTTGGAGGAGAAGAAAACCTCAGAAATCCCCCTGAGCTGTCAACATTCCAGTGACTTGGAGAAGAGGCTGGATCCAGAGAAGGTGGTGGAGGAGGAGCCAGAGGCCGGCCAGGTGGAGCCCAGTGCTCCGCAGGAGGGCCCCATGGCCAGAGCAGAAGTGGTGTTCCTCCATGAGATGGTAAGGTGGAACCTCTGTCGGTCCAACCAATAGTGTGTTTTTTTTTCCCAAGGGCTCTTAGAAAAGCTTAGTTTGTTTGTTTGTTTGTTTTGAAGAACCAGTGTTGGCCAAAGGGATTTTAGGAGACAACCTTTTAATCAGATCTTGGGATTGATTTTTGCAGGGATCCTATAATGGAATAACCATCCAGCTCAGGTTCCCTAGGAAAGACTCGGTGCTAAATATTTCTGACCTGAAGTCACCATAAACCAGTAATAGGCCCTGAGATTGTAATGACATTCAATCCCAGAAGCAGCACAAAATCTGCTTGTCATATCCTGGTCCCAAAGATGATGACCATTCATGGAGCCAGTTCTCTCCTTCCTGACATCCTGGGTAGATAGTGTCTACGTTTATAAAATCTTCTCTAATATTTCCAGTATCCATTCCTTCCTCCTGTTGCTTCTAGAGAGGTTAAAGCATGATGCCAGTGCTTACTAAACCTCTTCCACTTTTTTTAAAATATATTTTATTGATTTTTTTACAAAGAGGAAAGGAGAGGGATAGAGAGTTAGAAACATCAATGAGAGAGAGATATCGATCAGCTGCCTCCTGCACAGCCCCTATTGGGGATGTGCCTACAATCGAGGTACATGCCCTTGGCTGGAATCGAACCTGGGACCCTTCAGTCCACAGGCCGACGCTCTATCCACTGAGCTAAACCAGTCAGGACATCCTCCACTTTTTAGAGGTGTAATTTTCCAAGGTTTCTTGGATTGTCCTTGCATAAGATGAAGGTATGAGGAGGTTTTCCATAGAGCAGTCCTGCATTTGGGAGGCTCTGTGACCTGGAGGAGTGCGTCAAAAGGGATAGGCAGCCCTGGCTGGTGTTCCTAAGTGGTTAGAGCGCCAGCCTGCACACCAAAGGGTTGAGGGCTCAATTCCCAGCCAAGGGCATGTACTTTCATTGCAAGTTTGTTCCCCAGCTCAGGGTCCATGTGGGAAGCAACCAATCAATGTGTCGCTCTCACATGAGTGTTTCTCTCTGTCTCTCCCTCTCCTTTCCACTCTCTCTAAAAACCAATGGGAAAAAATATCCTCGGGTGAGATATACTAGTATACTTATAAATATATATATACTAGAGGCCTGATGCACAAAAATTCGTGCAAGAGTAGGCCTTCCTTCCCCCAGCTGCTGGCACCGGCTTCCCTCCAGCACCCGGGACCCGGACTTCCCTCCTCTGGCCGCCGGCAGGCTTCCCCCCGGCCCTGGCTTCATCAGGAAGGATGTCTGGAAGATGTCTGGTCTAATTAGCATGTTACCCTTTTATTATTATAGGTAGATATATATATGTGTATATATATGTGTATATATATGTCTATAGATATAGATATAGATATAGATATAGATATAGATATAGATATAGATATAGATATAGATATAGAGATCCAATCTGAGGTTGGTTGAACCCATAGATGCATAGGTGCAGAACCCTAAATATGGAGGGCCAACTGTATGCTATGGCACATGGTAAGCACTGAATAAACATCCAGTGATTATTACTGCTGTGTCCTTTACTCGCTGAGGTGCCCATCCTGGCACTGGTCCAGTCCCTGGCAGACAGTGAGGATGACAGCCCTGAGAGTCCTTGTTTCTAAATAAGCAGTTTCTTGATGTTTTTCAGGATGAAGATGATCTGACCAGCACCCTGATCTGGCCTGAGATTCAACAGGAGCTAAAAATCATTGAATCTGAGGAGGAGCTGCCCTCGTTGCCACCACCTGCTCTGAAGGTCAGCCCAACTCAGCCCACCCTTGAGTCAAATCCAAGGCCTTTTGCTCCCCCAGAGCCTCCTGGGAGCTTGCCTTGTGTCTGTAGCCCAGCTCCAGTCTCTGCCCCTCTGGAGGAGTGGGCTAGGGATCCAGCCAAACAGAGCACAGAGGAGGCTCCCACAGCAGCCAACAGAGAGAAGCCAGAGGCCATCAGCAGCCTCCACAGATCTGAGACTGAGAAGGCTCCGTGCCCAGACCCCACCAGCCTGGCTCCTCTGGAAATCATTCCACTGGAGGCGGCTTCTCCACAAGCAAGGGTGGAGGTGGGAGGCCCGGGGAACCTGTCTCCTCTGATCCCACCTGCTCCACCCCCTCCAACGCCTCTGGAGGAGGCACCTCGAGTCCAGCTACAGAAGGACGGCCCTGAGAGGGAAGACTCACCAAAGAATTCGAGGACAAGTCCACACATAGACCAGCCAAAACCCAAAGGCAGTCCTGCGATCCCCAGTCTTTGTCAGGGAGACAAGGCCTCTCCCAGACAGTGTGAGAAGCTGAAGTCAAAGAATGCTGCTCCCGATGGAAAAGGTGCTGGTTTTCCAAGCCCAACAAGGGAGGTTGAGCTCTCCCCACCCGGAGAGGGGGATGCAGCCCATTCAACGCAGGAGCCCTCGGACGGCGATGACGATGACACCGGGACAGACGTGGCCCAGCACGGCCTAGAGATGGTGGAGCCCTGGGAGGAGCCCCAGTGGGTGACGAGTCCCCTTCACTCCCCCACCCTGAAAAATGGGCAAGAGGCCCAGGTGCAGGGCCTTCAGTGCCACCGGCTGGAGAAGAGGCTTTCCCACAGACCTAGCCTTCGTCAGAGCCATTCCCTAGACAGCAAACCCACGGCTGAGAGCCAGTGGACTCTCAAGGGCCCCTCCTCCATCAGCTGTGCTAATCTTGAAGCCGAGAGGAACCCCGACCCGCTGCAGCCCCCAGCACCCAGGAGAGAGGTTACTGGATGGGATGAGAAAGCCCTGAGGTCCTTCAGAGAGTTCTCTGGCCTGAAAGGGAGAGAGGCTCTTCCCAGTCAGAAGAGACCGGGTGGTTTGCAGCCCAAACCAGCAGAAACCAGCCCTGTCAGCCTAGCAGAGGGAAAGGAACAGGGGACACACCTGGGGCACAGCAGCCCTCAGACTGAGCAAGGTAGTGTGCCCACACCAGAGAGCAGCAAGGAGAGCTCACCTCGTGTGCAGGACAGCACCCCGCACGAAGAGCATCCCCCAAAGTTACAGCTGAAGAGCACCGAGTGTGGGCCCCCAAAAGGGAAAAATAGGCCTTCTTCCCTGAACTTGGACTCTGCCATTCCCATCACTGACCTCTTCCGGTTTGAAAATGTGGCCTCATTTGGTTCACCTGGAATGCAGCTCTCTGAGCCCGAAAACCCAAAGGTCACCTGGATGACCTCATCTCACTGTAAAGTAGACTCCTGGAGGGTTGACTCCCAGGACTCTCAGGACCTGGACATGGTTGCTCATGCCCTGACAGGCCGCCGTAATTCGGCTCCCGTCAGTGTGTCAGCTGTGAGAACCTCCTTCATGGTCAAAATGTGCCAGGCCAGGGCGGTCCCCGTCATCCCTCCCAAGCTTCAGTACACAGAGATCCCACAGCCCCTGCCCTCTCAGAGCCCAGCGGAAGGTGGGGCTCAGCCTCCGGAGAAGAGCCCAGAAGAACCTGGATCCACTGATGTGACATCCGGGAAACCTGCCAAAGGTGATGCTCCCTCCCCCTCGGAAAGCCCCAAGGAAGAAAAGCCAAAGCAAGACACAGGAACCAAGGGGGCCTTGCCCATGGATGCCACTGCATCCCGCACATGTGAAGGCCCCAGCCTTTCTCCAGAACCAGGTTCGGCTAACCTGCTGTCCACCCAGGATGCAGTAGTGCAATGCAGGAAGCGCACATCAGAGACAGAGCCATCTGGGGACAACCTTCTTTCTTCAAAAATAGAGCGACCATCAGGGGGTTCTAAGCCTTTCCACAGGTCAAGGCCAGGAAGACCCCAGAGCCTAATCTTATTCAGCCCTCCTTTCCCCATCATGGACCATCCTCCTTCTTCCACAGTGTCAGATTCCAAGGTCCTGCTGTCCCCTATCCGGAGTCCCACCCAGACAGTTTCCCCCGGCCTTCTTTGTGGGGAATTGGCAGAAAACACATGGGTCACACCAGAAGGGGTCACGCTTAGGAATAAAATGACTATTCCTAAGAATGGCCAGAGACTAGAGACCTCAACCAGCTGTTTTTACCAGCCTCAGCGGAGATCTGTGATTCTGGATGGAAGAAGTGGGAGGCAGATAGAATGACTTCGCTTCACCTGCTGGTGTCTGAAAAAAACGCATGATTCATTGGGAACTTACTACAGGCCAACTTACCTTTGGTCCAGACACAGGTTACCCAAGGCTAGGCTTGTTTGGGCCTCTTCTTCTCTTCCTTCAGCCTTCTGGCCATTTATTAATCAGTCCATTTGTCAAAGGAAAGGTCACGGGAAGGATCAAGAGATGAAAGTTAGATAAGTCTTTAGGAGAAGGTGGGAAAGGTCAGATAAGGGAGAGGATGCAATGCTTGCCCCAGTGAGATCCGGGGCTGGTCTGTGAGCTGCGTTACTCCCCCATTGGCATTATCTATTCCTGTGGCAAGCTGGATGTGACAATGACTTGTGAAAGAAAGAGAGATCCTTTGTGTTGAAAAATGTTGCTACTGAGGTTTGAAGGCCTCCTCTTTACTTTGAGCTCTTTAATGCGGTGTGAGAGTGTACTCTCCAGAATAGAGCAGATTTGGAAAAGCAAACTGACGCCCACTTAGATCTCCCAGTGGGTGAATTTGCTCATGCTCTTTCCCCAGAATTAGCATAGAAAATCAGCACCCATACTCAAGAGCCACCTCTGAGACAGACACAATCTAAGAAGACTTTCAGGCCATGGCTTTTTATTAATGTGGGACTCCAACTGCCACTACCCTGACCTCTGATTTATAAACCCAATAGCTGGGCAGGATTGCTTCCATTCCAATACCACAGTCTAAAAACAGGATGTCACCTTGGAGAAAAGCCTCCCAACATAGACAGAACTACATTCCACACAGTATGTGGGGCCTTCGCAGAAAACACCCCTAGCTCAGCTACCTCTCCTTCCACACTAGGCTGGGACAGGAGTGCAGGACAAGGTAAGGAGAAGCCCTAGCAGGATAGCCCTACCCCTCGATGGCAGCTGCCCTTCTGAAATGTATTTCATTTTAGCCAGTGGGTGCCTTCCTTCCTCCCTCTCCCTTCATTGCTCAAGAGCAGAGTTGAGGCGCCCTCCCACAATCCCCCTCATCCACCACCCACCCTAGACACGCAAACTTGCCCTTCTCCTGTCTATATAAAAGCAGAAGCAATAAACCAACCTGATTTTGTCAGTTATTTAGAACTTCAAATAGTTCTTTCCTTTTCAGCTGGAGAGAGGAAGAACTAATATAACCTGCTGGCAGATTTTTGGTGCTCCCCGAAAAGGGCTTCATAGGAGCCCTTCTCAAGGCAAAATCCATCAGGGTATTAACACTTTCACACCTTCTAAGACAACTATCTTGTTTGAGAAACGAGAAAAATAGACCTACTTTTAGCCCTATGTACCTCCTCTCAGGTTCACGTCTGGCTGAGCTCTGTCCAGAAGCACAGCCATTGCAGAAATTCCTCTAAGGGCCAGCAATACCTCTGGGCAGACCTCACAACCAAGGCCAGTGCTGGGCTGGGTAGGAGATGAACTCAAGTTACCTCCTCCAGTGAGGAATTGGAAGCTGGTGCCCGGCAACAGATACATATTCCTCTCTCCTTTCTTCCCTGGTAAGCCTTACAGTTTGGAAACCTTGTCCTATACCTTCTAAGCCGGTGTCTATAGCAGGGGCAGGCCAGCTGATGGCTTCTGCTTTCCGAGGCACTGAGATGAGTGAGCAGGGGGAGCAGTCAGTAGGTCTTTGGTCAGTGTCTTTGCATTTTCACTAGATGAGTAAGACGTCGGACCAACAGGCAATGAGATGTCAACCCCTGAGAGAAGTCCTAGGGTACAGCATTTTGCCCCCTAGGGAAGCAAGGTGAAGAAATATAGTGGTGACAGATGAGAAAGGCCATGCTCAGGAGATTTGAAAAGTACATTCCTGCCTTATCAGAAAATGTGGGCGGGCAGGCTCCATAGCAATCTCAGTGCACCATGGTTTCCACGCCTCGATGAAGTCTGTTAGAATTCCAGTTAGAATTCGAGAGAGGGGAGGAACTGCACTTTGCTTCTCCAGCAGAACTCTGAGCCGAGTGATGAAATATTGAAACTATTTTGTGAGTATTTTAATTTGTGTCTGTAACATGTAGGAGCTCTGTTTTTACTTGGACACAGGCTGAGAAGCCACTATTTACATATTAGCAAGTGAGTTCAATTTGCAGCACCCACGTTGCTCTATTGAACGGCTGCCATGTTCTCAAGACTGACATCTTTCATTGGTAGCATCATCTTCAGGAGCCGTGGTGGGCATCTGGATGTCATCCTGAGACACAGTGACAACTGTCTGGAGATATTTCCTACTCTGGGCTTCCCTCCCCAGTCACTACAGAGGCCTCAGGAGCCGACTCACTTCTCAGGGTCCCGCCGCTGCAGTGTGGGCTTCTGTTTTGACTAACACCCAGCCTGTCAACTGTCATAACCTTCCTGTGGCCTGGGCGAGCCTGGCGCTGAGAAAATGCCATTCCAATGCAACGAAAACATATTTTACTCCTGGAATTGTTCCTCAAAATGCCCTGAATTACCTATCTGGTCACCCACTCGGGACTGAAAGCTAAACCCCCTGAGAATGGCTGGCTGGGAATCAGATCCCATCCAGGGGAGGGGCTGCTGTGTTTAAGGGGACCTACAGAGTGCACCAGAAAGGGCTGCAGAACCAGTTCTCAAAGGGCTGTTTCAATGATCAGTCCCCTAAATGGGCATGGCTGATTTTAAATGTCAAATTTGAAGTGTTTTCTTTCAGTGTTAATGGTTGCTTTAAGAAGGTAATAGCCTATATTTATTTGCAAAATGGCCTTCCCAGGCCAACTTTTTTTTTTTTCCAAAAGGGAATTGGTTTTTATTCTCTGCTTCACATGGAATATGAAGAGACCTGACCAAGAACCCCATTAAGATACTGTTAGCCTAAAATTCAAGATATTGATTATGTAAAAATTCTGGATTCTGGAGAAATAGAAAAATGTAAACATCATTCCCAACATTTATCAAGAGCTTTAGAACTCTTAAATCCTTGAGGAGCCTAATGAAAAAGAGGAGAGGGATGGTAGCAAATGAAACAGCCTATAAACAACCAAGAGCAAAATTTAAAGCCATTAAGTTACCAAATGAAAGAGTAAGGGGGGAAATGTAGCAACTAGCATCTTTTAATAGTATTGTTAATAGTGTTCAAGTCACCTACTGACTGTCATCAAATTAAACGCAATTGCAAACCCAATTGAAAGCACTAGGGAAGACACTTAGGCACTGAGATTTTTGCTTTGATCGTTTAAGAAAAATAGAGAGTAGTAACTATGAACAAATAGTTCTGAGATTTTGTGTGATCTTAGCTGGTTTGGGTTGTGAAGTCCTGTTGGTGCAATGTAATACCAGTGTTCCATTCTCCTTGAGAGTTGTTAGGTACTTCCATGGTCATAGAATGGGTTAACTCCTGTCGATGATGAAGTGAGAGGTCCAATGTTTAGCACATGATGATCACATTTGACTAAAATTGGGTGGGACAGTCGTTTGTCTATACAGGCTGTGGGTTCCTGCCTGAAGAGGTACTGGGGAACATGACTCATTTATCTGGGATTGGAATAGGAGAGGTTCAGGGTCGGTCCAATTCCCACCAGGATTGATTAGAGCTAGATTCTGCCTGTCCTATCTGATGACAGTATGAATCTTGGGGTTAAGTGCTTCCAGGAGTATGACTTTAGGTACTTCCAGCAGGAAGATCAGCTCAAAATGTGGAATAACAAAGAACATGTACTTTTCCAACACCTTTTCTAGCGAAGTCAGGCCAGAAGAGGGAGCTAGCATGAGGAAGGGGGATTGTAGAAGGGTAGTTGCCTGGGATCAATGTCAGTCCAGAAAGGATAAAATTGGGGAACAACCAAAGATTGATGGGCACACAGTAGATCATTTAGTAGCCTGGAGGTTCATGAGCAAATAAATGCAGGGATCACTTCTCTATGAGGCCAAAGGAGGATGTAACTAAATAAAAGAAATTCATGACAAATAGCCATGCATTTTACTGGATGAATCACAATGCTTTGCAATAACTTAATGCCATAGTACTTCCTGGCGTCTAATTCTGCAAGGTAAAGCACTTTTTCAAAGAAGTTTATTAGAAAGCAACATGATTTCAGCCTGTTTGTTGAGCTTGACGAATATGATTCCAAAGACATAATCAAAATGTTTTTCTATTAAAAAATATATTAAACCTATCCATAGAGACATTTATGTGTAATTAAAACAGATTGTTATGCTTTACAAATGTACTCTAATAAATGATATAAAATGCAATACCTATGATGGCACTATGAACTGGAGGAGGACACGGGGTCATCAAAATCGATGCTAGGAAAGGGGAATTATGTGCATCAGGCTCATTGTTCTAGTTTCTGTTTGATGTCATTTTTTATTACTTCAAAGTATGGTTTCACAGCAAAGTCCTGATGATTATACATATATATTTTATTTCAAAGAGGAAGGGAGAGAGAGAGAAACGTCAGTGATGAGAATCATTGATTGCTGCCTCCTGCACACCCCACAGTGGGGCTCAAGCCCACAACCTGGGTATGTGCCCTGGCCGGGAAGTGAACCATGACCTCCTGGTCAACGCTCAACCACTGAGCCACACCGGGTAAGCCTGATGGCTTTCTTTAGTAAATTTTCTTGTTTTACCTCTTAATAATTGTCAACATTTGCAGCTTCACTCTCTTATAGTTGCAATCACACATGTCACCCAAGATACCCAATATAAGTCAATGGCTATTGTAATTGAAAAGTGAGAAGAAAAGAAAAGTTGTTGCTTCTCAAAACTCCACAGCTTAAGAAGTTTGGATCCACCTACACCAAAGTGAACTCAATTTTTCTATCACCTGAGTCAGTCAAGGGGGACTAGTCTTTCATTTGAATGATTATTTTAATGCTCTAGGGATTAAAAAAGCAAAAGTTTGTTATCTTGGCATAGATTATCACAAAAAATGGGGGGGGGTACTCAATATGTCAAAATGAGACTTTTAGGAAAACAGTTATGCAACCCAGGCTCACAAGCCTGTGATATTTGCAGTAAAAGATGTCACAGTCAAGGGGATAAAAATAAGATCATTTTTGTAACAATATTCCATTTAGATCATCACACTTCCTAGGCCTGCTCCTGTCAGCCCTCCCTACTGCCCTAAATGCCTTTTTCTTCTAGACACTCCCTGGTCCCCCTCCTGCTTCCCTCTCCTACAACCCCTCCCTTCCACCCCAACTGACCTCACAGTTGCCCTCACTCCTCATCTTTCCCAGTTGTTCTGGAGCCCTTCTCTCCTTACAGCCTCTTCTCTGAAGGTTGCCTCTACTTCCTGGACTTCAGTAAAACTTGACACTCCCCTGAGGACCCTTTTTTTTTTAAGTGAACATATCAAGAATTTATCCTATCTAATAATAGACAAACATGGTAATTGACCATACCTCCGCTATGCTTCCGATTGGCTAATCAGCAGGATATGCAAATTAACTGCCAACAAAGATGGTGGCTGGCAGCCACGCAGTTGAAGTGAACATGAGGCTTGCTTGCTCCAGTGATGGAGGAAGCCAAGGTTCCCTGCCTGCCGAGGCCCAGC